CCCCAGGTATGTCCTCTCTCTATCTTTCGGTCTCTCTTCCCCTAATTTCAGCCTCTAGGGTTTTCTTCTTCCATTTGCATACCTTCACACATACCCGACCCCAAATCGATGGGGTTTCTTCTTCTTCCATTTGTTGAATTTATGCTTTTCTTCGTAACTACGATGGCTCAGAAGCAGTTTGAAACAATGCCTCTCTCAGTCCAGAACACCATCTGGGTATCTCTCAAAAGACACAAATCCAGATGGGTTCTTCTATTTTCTCAATAGCTTTGTATGTGCAGGTCAAATTAACATGAAATGGATTTGATTCTTAGCTGTGACTCTGCTTTTTAGTAGTTATTCATTCTGTTTTAATATGATTTTTATTGGATTGGTTTGGAATGGTGTTTTCTCTGTTTGTGTTGGTGTGTATACATAGTGTGTATATATAAATCTGTAGTATGTATGATTTAAAATCTGTTTGTATATATAAAATCTGTTTGTGTGTATATATAAATTTGGTTGTATAATTCTGTTTGTATATATATAAATATGTTTATATATATGAATTTTGTCATAAACAGGCCTGAAGGAATATATAAAATATGTTTATATATATAAATCTCATCTGTACTTTTATAATAATTCTATTTAATTGCATTTTCTTGAGCAGGCCTAAAGGAATTGAGACTCTTTGTTCAGATCTGCAAGTAGACCATACTGATGTCAGGATATTGATGCTTGCCTGGTAAGTTTCTTTTGTAGTTAGTAAGACTTCCTAAGTTATTAATCTTTAAAACAATATAATTGATGGACTACTCATTTCAGGAAGATGAAAGCTGAAAAACAAGGATACTTTACCCTGGTAAGCAGAACAATTCTGATATACACATTGAATATAATAATCCTATTTGTTGAACCTACTTCCTAGTGCTATTGTCATATACCCAAATCTGCAACTCCAGCAGTCTATCCGTCATCTAAATCTTCAATATGCCATGTTCTTGAAAATCCAACCACGAAAATGTCAATGTTTGACTTCAAAGCATTGACTTGGTTTTCATTAAAAAGATGTTGATTTTTTTTTTTTTTTTGGGTGATAAATTTGGGGTAAATTACACCAAGACCTGAGCTATGACTCTGTTTCACTTAATCCCCTTCACCTGAAAAACATGACAGCTTGTATACATTTTCCTTTTTGTTTGCCGCCGTCAACCCCTCATAAATACACCATATTTTTATATATGTATTGTGACGGAGAAGATATTACCAGCACACTGTAAGTTCTTGCTCTTCACAGCTCTACTTTTGTGAACTTAGGAACACTAATGTCTCGTTGTTTTGTAAATTCTATGATCACCATGTTTGCCGATTGGCCTTGGGTTTGATAACTATAGCTGTTATTTTCCTCATTACTATTATGTGCACTTGCATAGGACAAATTAGGACCACTCAATATGAGTCAAAATCTTGTTTGAACCTCGTTCCCATCGAGATAGAATTCGATTTCAACTAGGATGGGACCACTCAAACATATGAATTTGGTTCTCTTCTTAGGAATTAAAGGATTGAGATTTTTTTATGGATATTTCAGTTTGGACTTGTGAGGATTGAAGAGTAAAGATATATGTTATTGGTGATGAATTGTTACTTTTGTAATAAGAATTTACTATATTTATGAGTTTAAGTGAATTTACTATATCTATGAGTTTAAGTGCTAGTACAATGTTTGTGAATTTACCTTTCTAATATGTCTGTTATACAGTAGGCATAATAATGGGATCCTCTTATATTAGCTGGGGACTTGGATTCCTTGTATAAGTATATTTGTATAGATTTGGCTTCTATTTGGTGAAATAGATTGTAAAGGTTTGCTTGGAAAGAGATAGATCTTGTTATGTAGTTTTTGTTTTGTGTTTTGTATATAGACATGTTTTTTATGCATTACATGGTTATGTTATATTTTGCCAAATTTTGTTGAAAGATAGTAATCAAGTTAAAGTTTTGTGTAAATATGCTTTGTTATGTGCCCATTTAAAATTTTTGCCAATTAGGTTTTTGCTTCATGGGCATGTGATAATTATCAGTTGTGCCTCTAATTTGCAAATTCAATTTTTTTAGCTTTTGGAAAACTTGGTATGCTACTATCTATTGTTCGATTTGGCTGTGGCAAGTTTAGGGCAAGAAAAACCTGTAGATTTAAGGTTCTAGAAGAATGTGTAAGAAAGGTTGTAGGTGTGTGGGGATTGAACAGGACAACATATTGTTTGGCTTTGACTTTCTTCAGATAGTTCTTGGGCAATTATTACATGTTGAGTTGTTTACACTTTTCTATAAACATTCAATTGAGTATATTCATTCAGTGAAGCTCATGATGTGTAAATTTCTTTTCTGAAGCTGCGATGGGTGTATTGGAAAATGTTCTTGCATCTTTCCATTCCATTTCTCGATTTTCTGATTGCATTACTACATTTGCATTATTTTGCAGTTGGTGTCTTCAGAAAGAAAGGTACCAAACTATATGAAGCAAGCTTGAAGGATGAGAAGCGTTTAGATCAATGGCTCCATTGTTAAATTAAGCAAGTGTTTTAGTAAATAAATTTAATTTTCCCATCATGTTTACACCTTCAAAATATTCTGTAAATGACACTTGATGTAGAATTTTTTGTACAGAGGACATCTTTCTTGTATGATTTTGTGTTTGTATGGAATTATTATTTTGGGTTGGATTGTATTTGATTTGTATAGAATTTGATGTTAAAAGATCAAATTTTTGTATTGTTGAAACGAAATAAAAATAGATATATGTATTATTTTGTTTAAATACAGGGTGCAGGTTGCACGAAATAAATACAGGTTGTGAAAAAATTAATTATAATAAAAAAACACAAAATAAATTTTTTGGTAATTAAATGTTTAGTAGCGAAAAAAAAAAGAAGTGAATTTGTTAGTGACTAACCAATTGGTAGTCAAAAAGGAAATCAATATTTTTAGTGACTAAATATTTGGTAGCCATAAAGAACCCAAAGATTTTAGGTGACCAAAAATTTAGTAGCTAAAAGTATAATGAAGACTTTCGGCTACCAAATGGTTAGTAGCCAAAAGTTTAATAAAATGAAAAATAATTTTTTTGGCGACTAAATTCTTTAGTCCCTAAATGTAGTAATGTTGTGACTAAAACTTATTTAAGACAAAAGTTTTAGTCGCTGAAAATTTAATTAATTTTATTTGAACACTTTTGGCGACTAAATATTTAGTCGCCAAAATATCACCTTTCCCGACTACCCAAAGTTTCGTAGCCAAATGCTTACTTTTGGCTACTAATATTTTAGTCGCCAAAACATAACCTTTGCCGACTAACGAAAATTTAGTAGCCAAAACGTTCACTTTCAGCGACCAAAAATAGTTTAGTCGCCAATACTATCGCCGACAGGGTATAGGCGACGAGTTTGGCGACAAAATATTTTAGTCGCTAAATGGTTTCGGCGACTAAATATTGGACTTTTGACTACTAATATTTTAGTCGCCAAAACATAACCGGTTTGGAATACTTATTAAGTATTTTTGGAATATGGCTATTTCATGCTTTAGAGATGTCGTGATTGATGGAGAAAGTATAGAGGTAAACATACATATGATAAGTACTAAAAAATATGAACAGATAAAACTTTAAGACCCCCCCAATAATTTTTCTTGATTTGCCGCTTTATACGCGTTGTCGGGCTGTCTGCTTGACTCTTCAAGATTGGAGGTTCATTATTTTCGTCTTTATTCCTTCAATTGGATCTGGGTGATTGGGGGTCCATTATTTTTGTCTTTATTCCTTCAATTGGATCTGGATGGAATTGAAAGAGAATTTGATTGGGATATTCTTTTAAGGGAAAATAATATACAAATCAATCTTTTTCTTTTTGTTGATATCATGTTCAGACAGTAAAATTTTATTGTGCTAATGTATTTTGGGTAATTTATTTGTGAACTATTTAATTGATTATTGCGTTTTAATTAAATTCGTAGTGTGAAGATGGTATTTTACTATTTACATGTAAAAAATTTATAGTAAAATTTATTATAAATTAGAATAAAATTTTACTGTTGACATTAATTTCGACGGTAAAAAATTTACTACTTTTAAAGGAATTTAATGGTTAACATAGATTTTATTTGATAAATCTTGACGAAAGAATTCTAAAAGTATAAATTTTATTAAAAAACGACATTTAAATCAAAAATTATAACAATTTAAAATTTAAAATATTAAATTACTCACCATAGATATTTTAATAATAGTGGTATATGCTGAATTTTTCAATGAAAAATTTGTATATTTATTCTTAATGTATTAAAATTTTATTAGGAGAGAATTTTAAACAAATTCTCCTATGTGATCAACCTAATGGTTTCAGCCAATCTGGATGAATTGGAACAAGGAATGACTCTCCTACAATACTGTTCAAAATAGAAGTAGGGTTAAGGCAAGGTGCCGTAATCTCATCGTTTTCGTTCAATGTTGTGGTTGAAGGGTTTAATGTTCTCTTCAAAAGAGCTTTATTTTATTAACAAGATTAATAAGGAAATAATTAAAAATCTTTTGAAATAGTGTGTGATTAGTTTTTCAATTAGGGTTCGACTTCCCTCCAGTTCAAAGGGTGTTGTTGGGTTCATGGAGGCTCACCACGGATTCCGTTTTGATAATCTGAACCATTAATATATAGAACTCGTTGAGTACTATATAACTGTAATACATCAAGTTGATCGGATATCGACAATTATGTGATCAAATCAGTTTTGTATTAAAAAAAAATGGACAGTAAAAAAATAAACGATAGATAGAAATTTGATACGATAAAATAGCTATCGATATCCAATCAACGTGATTTTTTACAGGCATATAGTACTTGACGAGTTCTACACATTAAATGGTTCGGATTATCAAAACAACACCTATGGTGGGCCCCACGAGCCCAACAGAACCCTCCAGTCTGATCATGGACTAAAGGGAAGCCAATTCCTTTCAATTAAATTGGTGAGATAATTATTATTATTATTATTATTATTATTATTATTATTTTCATATTTGAAATTCTAATCCCCAAGTTTGCCAATTTCGTCGAATTGAATGTCTATTATATATGCAATCCAGTTAATGAAATTTATGATCAAACATAGAATTGTGTGTCCATGAACCAATAATTATAATCCTATACTATAATTATACTGATCAAACACATGGACTCAAGGCCTTGGGGTAATTAAAGACATTAATATGGGCTTGGATGGATCTTATGGAAATTACTTGTCAACCAAGACAAGATTTTCAAACATTTATGAAATTATTTGTTCATATCTTACGGAGAAAGGTAAAATTAAAATAAAATATAATATTACGGAAAATAAAACATTTTAGGAACACTTACTGTTAATTTTTTCTTAAAAGAAACGATAATATTATACAAACTAACAAAATTTACAATTTCTTTTAACATAAATTTTTTTCTAAAATTTTCATTCTAAAAAAAAAAAAAAAAACTGTCTAGAAGAAAAGAGGGAGAATGTGCATTAAACCCAAACTGTTCTACAACTGTAGCACCCATTTAATCATGATATCCACCTCACAAGCCGGGTTCAAATTCTAGAAGCTCCTTCTCAGCAAAACCATCAAAAACAACAAATAAGAAACTCATACCCAAGCAAGTCCATATACACTTAAGCATTAAGAAGTTTGAGATAATCCAATGCCTTATAGCCCACTCTCATGTGAGAGATTGTCAAATCCCCCAATCCCACTGTATTTGACAATACTTTTTGGGGGGTGCATATTTTCGCTGCAAATATTTTGCAACTTCATTTCTGTTTTTGACGGAAAAAATGCCAAAGATAAAGGCACATATCAGAATCCTTATCATCACCCATCAAACAATGAGAAGACAAAAATAACTAGGTCATCTGAGAATAAAGATCACTCACTCTCCAATCCAACATACCCCACAACAATGCAAAATAACTCTGTCACTCGACAGTCACAAAATTATAGAAGGTCAAAAACATACTCAACAGTTCTTTCATAACGCTCATTCCAAAATAACTCTGGTGAGTGTGCTAAAATAAGCCCAGAATTTGCAAGTATGTTGGAGGCAGAATTTCAGAGCTTGAGATTTGGAATGCTGTAAAGGAGTGTCCAGGGAATAAGGCTCCTAGGCCTGATGGATTCAATTTAGCCTTTTACCAAAGGTGCTGGAATGTTATGAAACATGAGTTTGTGCAAATGATGCATGAATTTTATTTAAATGGGAAGCTGGCTTCAGGTGTTAATAGTTGTTTCATAATGCTCATTCCAAAGAAGTGTCCCATTGGGTTGTCTGACTATAGGCCAATTAGTTTGGTAAGTTCAGTGTATAAGATTCTAGCAAAAGCTCTGTCTCGAAGACTAAGGCAAGTTCTTCCTATGATTATTAGTGAAGTTCAATCAGGTTTTTTGAGTGGTCGATGCATATTTGATGGGATTCTAATTGCTAATGAAGTGGTGGACTGGTGGAAGAAGACAAAGAGAAAAGGGGTTATTCTTAAATTGGATTTCAAAAAGGCTTATGACTCAGTAAATTAGGGTTTCTTGTTTTCAATGTTGTACAATTTCGGGTTTGGTGTCAAGTGGGTGGGTTGGATAAAGACATGTATATCCACAGCTAGAATTTCCATGTTAGTTAATGGGTCTCCCACTTCAGAGTTTTCTTGTCATAAAGGGCTAAGGCAGGGTGATCCTATGTCACCTCTCATCTTCAACTTGGTGGCAGAGGGGTTAAATATTCTAATGGAAAGAGCAACAGGTTTGGGGCTAATCAAAGGAGTTGTGGTGGGTCAGAGCGAACTCAAGTTGTCTCATCTTCAGTTTGCTGATGATACGATTATTTTTTGTGAGGCTAATTGGGAGGAAATCATTGCAATAAAGAGAATATTGAGATGTTTTGAAATAATGTGTCACGACCCCATTCCGCCCCTAGTAGAATGGTGTCGTGATGGCCAGTAATCCGAGATTACCAAAGGCCAACTTACAAAAATTCACACAATCCGAGTATGCGTATGGGGCTTACATGTGTGGAAGCAATAAATTTAAATCTAATTAATCCATAAGAGCTGTGCATAGATTAAATGAAATGACATACATTTTAACATGGTTTACAAATTGGATACAAATAAAACAAAGTACATATTACATCTTGATCAAAAGGCTTCTCAAGCCGACATATACAAAAGAAATGAATTACAAACTAAGAAGCATAATCTTCAAGATGCTAGCAAAACATGAATCCGAAAACAACTTGCAAATAACATCTTAGACGCCGCCGCCTTCTTGCTCGTCACCTACATATATACAAAGGGGAGGGTGAACTTGGATATTCAGTGAATGATATAAATAATAAAGGTTTGAATGAATGATATCCGAGATCTTTATCAAAACAATACATATCATAACTTGTAACGAAACAAGGGATGAACCAAGTCCATCAATCAAATCCTTCAAAGCTTCTTGGGATGTTTAATAACATCTACACAATATAAGGGATAACATTCTTGACAAAACAAGGGAATAATCGACTTGAATCGATTAGACAAACCCACTCGTACAAGACCGTCGGTGGCAAGGGAGATATCTCAAACAAGGGTACTAGTTGCATTATAGTCCCCTAGCACTAAGGACTTTCTAAGAATGTCATCAAAACAAAGATAATACTTGATACAAAAGCTATTGGATATTCATTCACACTTGATCAAATACTTTTCCAAAACAAAACAAAGCAAAGCTTTTATCAAAACATTATAACATAGCTTTATTAGAAATACCACTCACTATAGCTCTTCGGATGTAGGGCTTAAGGCAAGAATCCAAGACCTACAAATACATGACAAAGTCCACTGAATGCATTTCAAGAAGACAAGAAAGAATGCTCAAAGATGGTTGTGCAATGCATTCTCAAAACAAGCTTTACATGAATGAAAATGATCCCGGCATTTCTTTCCAAAACCAAGTCAAGACAAAGCAAAACATGTGCTGGGAGTCAAAACACTGTTTTTCTTCTAGGGAAAACATGCTGGGTGCCAACCAGGTCTCGGAATGGATGCACAGAGATGATCTAGGCTAAAATGGCCTAGCCAAGTGAACTCAGGAAGTCTTGGCCGAGGTCCCACACCTCTTGGCCGAGGTGTGGTCTCCTAGGCCTAGGTGTGCGGCTGCTTGCCGAGATGTTACAAGGTGCCGGCAAGGGTGTACCATGGTCGGCCTAGGTGTGCATGCAAGATAGGCTAATGTGCAAGTGATCATGCAAGATAGGCCAAAGTGAGATACGATGCTTGGCCTAGGTGTGAGGTCTAGGCAAGAGTGGGTCTCAGTGACCACACTTAGGCAAATGAAGTTTGGAAATCTGGGTTTCCCCCTTGAAGAACATGAAGAACTTGAATGCTAAAATCATAACTTGTTATTACAAAATCTGAGATTTCATGGCATGAGTTCAAAAACATGGACCTAGGTACCCATACTTGAAGTTTTCATGAAAGCAAACACAAAAACATGAGACTTGTTATAAAACTTTCGGATCAAAACTTGGTTTTTCTTCAAGAACACATGAACATCACTTTCTCTTTCTAAAACAAACTTTAAATCAATGCATGGCTAATGAATCATGCTAGATCAGGTAATGTGATCAGATCAATATAAAGAACAACAAGAGTAGATTAAGATTCTAACCTCAAAACACGAATCTCACGGTTCAAACTCTAAGGATCAAGCTTGGAAATCTAGTTCTCACTCTAAGAACAACTTCTTCCTCTTTCCTAGAGCTTCTCTCTCTTCTAGGGCAAAGATATAGCAAATGATATGTTTTCTCTACTGCCAGCTGACTTTTACTGGGACACGTGGTAACGTATGGTTGGATCTCCTCAAAAAGGTGTCAGAATGACAAGACAAGAGTATGGAAAAGTGTGTATAACAAGTAAGGTGGCATGGGCACTCAGACAAGGCAATGATCTCGGATTAGGACATAGGCTTCGGCAAGTAAGGTCTCATTGATCTCGGCCAGGAAGGATAACACTTGGCCTAGTTGTGCCACACCTCGGCCTAGATGTGCCACACCTCGGTCTAGGTCATACCAGTCCAGGAACAAGATCACTAGGTGCAAGGATCAAAGATCTAGGACGCCTAGATGATAACATCTCGGCCTAGATGATACACATCTCGGCCAATATGCTAGGGTGAAAGTGAAGGTCAACCAAAGTGGTTCCAAGATGGTCCTAGGTGTTGGCGCTCAACGGCCTAGGTGTAAGAAAGGATATATGACCTAGGTTTAACACACCCAGCAAGGAACAAAGCATGCACATAACACTTAGGCAAAACATGATGGCATCAAAACAAAATAGGAACCTTTACATAGGCAAAATGAATCAAAGTCTAAAGATGCAAGCTTAACAAGGCAAAATCATGTAAACGCTCATGAATATGACTAAGACAAGAATGAGGGTTGTTACAGTCTACCCCCTTTAAAGAAGTTTGGTCCCCAAACTTAAGTTACCTCGCCCCAAAAACAATTCTGGACAACGTATTCTCATCTCTTCTTCCATTTCCTATGTAGCATCCTTGCCATAATGCTCATTCCATTCAATTTTCACCATCAGTATCGACTTGTTCCTCAACTGTTTCACTTGCCTATCAATAATTCTTATTGGCTTTTCCTCGTAGCCTAAATCTTCATCAATCACAATCTCGAAATAATCAATCATATGCAGTGGGTCCCGAATATACTTTCTCAACATCGAAACATGAAACACATTGTGGACTTGACTTAATTCTGGTGGCAAAGCAAGTCTGTAGGCAATTGGGTCAACTCTTTCAAGAATTTCAAATGGCCCGATGTAACAAGGTGCTAACTTACATTTCTTCCCAAATCTTGAAACTCCTTTCATCGGCGAAACTTTCATGAATACATAGTCCCCAACTTCAAACTCTAGCTCTCTTCTTCTCTGGTTGGCATAACTCTTTTGTCGGCTCTGAGCAGTTTTGATCCTTTGTTGAATGAGCTTAATCTTCTCGGTTGTCACTTGCACTAACTCGAGACGAATCAAAACTTTATCTCCTACTTCGACCCAACAAATCGGCGATTTGCACTTCCTCCCATATAAAGCTTTATACAGCGCCATACCAATAGTAGCTTGAAAACTGTTGTTATAAGCAAATTCTACTAATGGCAAATGAAATTCCCAACTTCCGTTGAAGTCCAATACATATAACCTGAGCATATCTTCAAGTGTTTGAATTGTTCTCTCTGTTTGCCCATCGGTCTGGGGATGAAATGTTGTGCTAAATCTCAACTCAGTTCCCAAAGGTCTTTGTAAACTCTGCCAAAATCTAGAAACAAATTTCGAATCTCGGTCTGACACAATAGACATCGGCACTCAATGAAGTCTAACAATCTCATTTATATACAACAAAGCAAGTCGAACGGCATTAAAGGTAGTTTTAACAGGCAAGAAGTGTGCTGACTTAGTTAATCTATCAATTATGACCCAAATCGAATCCATACCTTTTTGTGTCCTCGGCAGTCCAACAACAAAATCCATGGAGATGTGTTCCCATTTCCACTCAGGAATTGACAAAGGTTGAAGAAGTTCTGCTGGCCTCTGATGTTCTGCTTTCACTTGTTGACAATACAAACACTGGGATACAAACTCGGCTATTTCTCTTTTCATATTTGGCCACCAAAAAGTCTGTTTCACATCTTAATACATCTTGGTATTTCCTAAATGAACGGAAAATCTGGAACTATGGGCTTCCTGCAAAATTCTCCTTTTCAACTCTGGGACGTCGGCCACGCACAATCTTCTTTCAAACTTAAGTACCTGACTTTCAAGGGTGTATCCTGGTGTTGGCTTAGTGATAATCTCATCAACTACCTTCTTGAAGAATTCATCCTCCATCTATCTTGTCTTTACCTTCTCAATAATAGTCGGCTCCACTGAAATCATTGCTAAACATGCCAAATTCCCAACTAACTTCTTGCTCAGGGCGTCGACCACTGAGTTAGCTTTACTTGGGTGATACTGAATATGTATGTCATAGTCTTTTAATAACTCCAGCCATCTCCTCTGTCTCATATTCAATTTTTTCTGAGTGAACAAGTACTTTAAACTCTTGTGATCTGTAAAAACTTGACAAGAAGCTCCATACAAGTAATGACACCAAATTTTCAAAGCAAATACAATGGCTGCTAATTCTAGATTGTGGGTAGGATAATTCTTTTCATGAGGTTTCAACTGACGAGATGCAAATGCTATGACTCTACTTTCTTGCATTAATACACAACCCAAACCCTTATGTGAAGCATCACTATAAATCTGAAATTCCTCGTTACTTGACAGTAGTACAAGAACTGGTGCTGTGACTAACCTCGTCTTTAGCTCCTAGAAAACTGATTCTCTATCCTCGGTCCATTCGTATGCCACTCCCTTCTGAGTCAATTGTGTCAATGGTACTGCAATCTTTGAAAAGTCCTTCACAAACTTTCTGTAATAACCTGCCAAACCCAGAAAACTACAAACCTCGGACACATTAGTCGGCCTCGGCCAGTTCACAATAGTTTCAATTTTTCTAGGATCAACCGAAATACCCTCTTCATTAATCACATGTCCCAAAAATGAGATACTAGAGAGCCAAAACTCACACTTGCTAAACTTAGCATACAATTTTCTATCTCTCAAAATTTGTAGGGCAAGTCTCAAATGCTTCTCATGCTCACCATTACTCTTGGAATAGATCAATATATCATCAATGAAAACAACTATAAAATTCTTAGTATGGCTTAAAGACTCTGTTATCAAATCCATAAATGCTGCAGGAGCATTAGTGACTCCAAAAGGCATTACCAACATCTTCGGCTTTAACCTTGAGTTGATGGTAGCCCGACCTGAGATTAATTTTAGAAAAGACTCGTGCTCCCTGTAACTGATCAAACAAATCATCAATCCTTGGCAATGGATACTTATTCTTAATGGTTACCTTGTTTAGTTCTCGGTAATCAATACAAAAATGAAGTGCACCATCCTTCTTCTTAACAAATAAAATTGGCGCTCCCTAAGGCGAAGTGCTCGGCCTAATAAAACTCTTATCTAACAACTCTTGTAATTGCACTTTCAATTCTTTAAGCTCGGCTGGGGCCATCCTATAGGGTATTTTGGAGATAGGTTGGGTTCTCGGTACAACGTCAACAGTAAATTCTATCCCTATCGACTAAGTGACCAGGCAAATCATTTGGAAAGACGTCGGGGAATTCATTAACAACTAGGATATTGACCAATTCAACGTTTCCATTCAGATTACTTAGTACACTACACAAATAACCTTGACATCCTTTTTGAATCAACTTATAAGCCTTCATGGATGAGATCAAGTAAGGTGGGGATACTACTCCTTTACCCTGGAAGGTAACCTCGGCTTGGTTTGGGGGTTTCAATGTGACACTTTTGGAAACACAATTAATGGATGCATGATTTACTACTAACCAATCCATTCCCAATATAACGTCAAAATGAGTCATGTTCAACGGCATCAAATCAACTAGTAATTCAACATTATCAATCACAACGACACATGCTCTATAAATGGATGCAACAGTCATAGTTCTTCCAGATGGAGTAGATACGAATAACAAATAACTAAGGGGTTCTAGTTCCCTATTTAACTTCTCAGCAAACTTAGCAGATACAAAGGAATGTGTAGAACCCGAATCAATCAATATATATGCATCTTGAGAGCAAATTGGAAGTATACCTGACACTACTGCCTCAGCACTCTGAGTGTCTCCTGGCACTAATGCAAAAACTCTACTCTGTCTCATCTGTCCTTTCCCGACGTTGCCTTTCTGTACAGAACCCAAAGTACCTCCATTTTTCTTACCATCATTAGTCTTTGTCTTAGGACAGTCTTTAACACGATGACCCATCTCACCGCATTTAAAACAAGCTCCAGATGCCCAACGAAAAACTACAAAATGTGGCTTCCCACAACTTAAACATGTCAGCCTAGTACCACCCTCCTGATTTGAGTTGCTTGAACTGCCCATATTTGCATTCTTCTTGGCACCAAATGGTACTCGGCGATTGTCATAATTCTGTATTTTTCTCTGGCTCTCTCCTGAACTCTGATATTTGTTTAAGTTAGCTTCTACCAGGATGGTTTTGTCTAACACTCCGGCATACATCGGTATGTTGAGCATATTAGCCCGATCTTGTATTGGTCCCCAAAGTCCACTCTCAAACTTCCTAGCTTTTCTGTATTCGTTATTGACCATGTGAGGTGCATACCTTGCCAACTCGTTGAAAGCACGATCATATTCATCCACTGTTTTGTTGCCCTGTGTCAAAGTCTGGAATTCTGTGGTCTTGCGATCTCGAACACTAAGAGGGAAATGCTTGTCATAGAATAACTCCAAAAATCTGGCCCAAGTCAAGTCTGGATTACCTTCTCGGATCATCATCCACCACCTACGAGCATCATCGTCCAGTGTGAATGTTGTCAATGACACCTTTTGGGCATCGGTGCTGGAAAAGATCTCAAACAACTTCTCCATCTCAAGAACCCATGCTTCTGCCTTCATTGGCTCTATACCTCCATGGAATTTTGGTGGATTCATCTTCTTGAATTCTTTGATCAAAGTCAACGTGTCGTCCCTGTATAAAGCTGGTTGTGGAGGCACTTGCGGCGCTGGAGGAGGTGGAGGTGGAACTGCATGTCGGCCATCTGTCTGCTCGGCCTGAGTCGATGTAGTACTAGTGTTCTGTTGCCTTGCTTGCCTCAACTCATGGGCCAAACCCTCTACCATCCTTTCTAATCTATCTAACATGTCCTCGGATTGATCTCGGCTAACTGGAGGTCTACTCCTTCTCATGATGCTAGGAGTATGCAAAATGTGACTCTTAAACAAGATGAACAAATAGACAAGTAGGCAAGTAACAAATAAGAATGTCGAGATGACGCACACCTTGTCAAATAGCAAACACTATGATGCAATCCTAACATCATTCTAAGGGAAATCCTATGCTCTTTGGGACTAAAAGTGTGTGCATAATGTATTACAAGGAACTTGTGCTCTAATACCAATCTGTCACGACCTCATTCTGCCCCTAGTAGAATTGTGCCGTGATGGCCAGTAATCCGAGATTACCAAAGGCCAACTTACAAAAATTCACACAATCAGAGTATGCGTATGGGGCTTATATGTGCAGAAGCAATAAATTTAAATCTAATTAGTCCATAAAAGCTGTGCATAGATTAAATGAAATGACATACATTTTAACATGGTTTACAACTTGGATACAAATAAAACAAAGTACATATTACATCTTGATCAAAAGGCTTCTTAAGCCGACATATACAAAAGAAATGAATTACAAACTAAGAAGCATAATCTTCAAGATGCTAGCAAAACATGAATCCGAAAACAACTTGCAAATAACATCTTAGGTGCCGCCGCCTTCTTGCTCGTCACCTACATATATACAAAGGGGAGGGTGAGCTTGGATACTCAGTAAATGATATAAATAATAAAGGTTTGAATGAATGATATCCGAGATCTTTATCAAAACAATACATATCATAACTTGTAACGAAACAAGGGATGAACCAAGTCCATCAATCAAATCCTTCAAAGCTTCTTGGGATGTTTAATAACATCTACATAATACAAGGGATGACATTCTTGACAAAATAAGGGAATAATCGACCTGAATCGATTAGACAAACCCACTCGTACAAGACCGTCGGTGGCAAGGGAGACATCTCAAACAAGGGTACTAGTTGCATTATAGTCCCCTAGCACTAAGGACTTTCTAAGAATGTCATCAAAACAAAGATAATACTTGATACAAAAGCTATTGGATATTCATTCACACTTGATCAAATACTTTTTCAAAACAAAACAAAGCAAAGCTTTTATCAAAACATTATAACATAGCTTTATTAGAAATACCACTCACTATAGCTCTTCGGATGTAGGGCTTAAGGCAAGAATCCAAGACCTACAAATACATGACAAAGTCCACTGAATGCATTTCAAGAAGACAAGAAAGAATGCTCAAAGATGGTTGTGCAATGCATTCTCAAAACAAGCTTTACATGAATGAAAATGATCCCGGCATTTCTTTCCAAAACCAAGTCAAGACAAAGCAAAACATGTGCTGGGAGTCAAAAAACTATTTTTCTTCTAGGGAAAACATGCTGGGTACCAACCAGGTCTCGGAATGGATGCATAGAGATGATCTAGGCTAAAATGGCCTAGCTGGGTGAACTCAGGAAGTCTTGGCCGAGATCCCACACCTCTTGGCCGAGGTGTGGTCTCCTAAGCCTAGGTGTGCGGCTGCTTGCCGAGATGTTACAAGGTGCCGACAAGGGTGTACCATGGTCGGCCTAGGTGTGCATGCAAGATAGGCTAAGGTGCATGTGATCATGCAAGATAGGCCAACCTGAGATACGATGCTTGGCCTAGGTGTGAGGTCTAGGCAAGAGTGGGTCTCAGTGACCACACTTAGGCAAATGAAGTCTGGAAATCTGGGTTTCCCCCTTGAAGAACATGAATGCTAAAATCATAACTTGTTATTACAAAATCTGAGATTTCATGGCATGAGTTCAAAAACATGGACCTGGGTACCCATACTTAAAGTTTTCATGAAAGCAAACACAAAAACATGAGACTTGTTATAAACTTTTGGATCAAAACTTGGTTTTTCTTTAAGAACACATGAACATCACTTTCTCTTTCCAAAACAAACTTTAAATCAATGCATGGCTTATGAATCATGCTAGATCAGGCAATGTGATCAGATCAATATAAAGAACAACAAGAGTAGATCAAGATTCTAACCTCAAAACACGAATCTAACGGTTCAAACTCTAAGGATCAAGCTTGGAAATCTAGTTCTCACTCTAAGAATAACTTCTTCCTCTTTCCTAGAGCTTCTCTCTCTTCTAGGGCAAAGATATAGCAAATGATATGTTTTCTCTACTGCCAGCTGACTTAACCTTCAGCTGGGACATGTGGCAACATCTGGTTGGATCTCCTCAAAAAGGTGTCAGAATGACAAGACAGGAGTACAGCAAAGTGTGTATAACAAGTAAGGTGGCATGGGCACTTTGACAAGGCAATGATCTCGGATTAGGACATAGGCTTCGGCAAGTAAGGTCTCACTGATCTCGGCCAGAAAGGATAACGCTTGGCCTAATTGTGCCACACCTCGGCCTAGATGTGCCACACCTCGGTCTAGGTCATACCTGTCCAGGAACAAGATCACTAGGTGCAATGATCAAAGATCTAGGACGCCTAGATGATAACATCTCGGCCTAGATGATACACATCTCGGCCAATATGCCAGGGTGAAGGTGGAGGTCAACCAAAGTGGTTCCAAGATGATCCTAGGTGTTGGCTCTCAACGGCCTAAGTGTAAGAAAGGATATATGACCTAGGTTTAACACACCCAGCAAGGAACAAAGCATGCACATAACACTTACGCAAAACATGATGGCATCAAAACAAAATAGGAACCTTTACATAGGCAAAACGAATCAAAGTCTAAAGATGCAAGCTTAACCAGGCAAAATCATGTAAACGCTCGTGAACATGACTAAGACAAGAATGAAGGTTGTTACATAATGTTTGGGTTAAAGATTAATTTTCGTAAATGCGAAGTTTTTGGGATTGGTGTAGAGGATGTTTTGGTTAAAGCGTTTGCTAAAAAACTGAATTGTTTGCCCCCGAATTTGCCATTGAATTATCTGGGTATGCCTTTAGGTTCAAATCTGATGAGGAGGAGAACTTCGCAACCAATTGTCGATAAGTTCAAAAAGAAATTAGCACTTTGGAAGAGGAAATGTTTATCATTTACTGGGCGACTAACGCTGATTAAGTCTGTTTTATCAGGACTGCCATTGTTCTTTTTATCATTGTTTAAGATGCCAGTGGGTGTTGTTAAGCAGCTAGATAGAATCCAGTCTAATTTTCTTTGGGGCAGTGATGAGGTTAGGAGAAAAGTACATATGGTTAAGTGGTAGGAGGTGTGTCAAAATAAAAGCCAAGGTAGGCTTAATATGAGGAAACTCAATGAGGTCAATGATTTCCTGTTAACCAAATGGTAGTTGTAACAACCCTCACCACTGTTTACCGATAAACTACCGATTACTGCTAAACTAAGACTGATTATGATTGGTAATTGAACTGATTGAACTACTGAACTGACTGACTGGAATCTAAAACTAAATTGATTAAGTATATCTGTTATATTGCATTTCTATCTGTTGCCTGTTTGATTATCTGTTCATGTTTTTATGGTTAAATTGCAAATTGAAGGCCTTATCGGCGGCCGAACCAGAAATTGATTAGTGTTTCATGATCCTTAGAATTAATGTGATTTTATGGTGTATTTATCTGAAAACTGAATTGGTATGATTAAATTAGATTAAATAGTGCTAAATTACAAGAGTTGCATTATCTACCACATTGCCATAGTAGTGGCCCACTACTTTACACATATTAAGACTTGTAATACATTGAGCAAACCATTTCCTCAGCCTTATTCATTGTTATTGCTGACTAGAGAGTGAGAATAGGGAGATTGGGTGATTTCATCTAGAATTGCTTGGAAATTGGAGGAATTGAAAGGAGTTCTTGCTAGATTGAACCTCAAGACTAGTAATTAAGGAACCTAGGTATGAATTTCATCCTCTTGATTGTGTCTTTAAGTTGATCCATGCATGGTTCATGTCTAATTGAGGAGCTAAGTCATAATTTAGTTCTAACATGTTGAATTATAGCTTAATTCTTGCATGCATGTTTAGATTGTTGAGTTTTAAGTTGTTTTCATGGCAAAATGTTACATGCATACTCATAATTATGTTAAGTCCATGATTTCATCTTGTTTTGAAAAGAATTGGCTCCTTGGAGCATGTTTTGGAAGCTTGGAAGCTAGCTAAATTCATGCATGTCATGTTTGAAGATTGTTCATAAAAATTGGTTTGAAATTGAGTTTGTTTAAGCTACCCTTGGGCTTTGATTTCTTAAATTGATCTTTAAAACATGTTGTTCTATGAGTTTACAAATGTTTCCAGGAAATGAGCCCAAGAGGATCGAAAATTTTGCATCAAACCATGGTTTTAAGCTTAGAGGTGCAATCTGGATTTTCCAGATTTTGCACTCCCGCTCGAGCAGGGAAAGTGGCGCTCGAGCGGGAAATTCGAGCATCCAGTACTTTGCACTGTTTTACAGTCCGCTCGAGCGGAGGCCTGTGTCTCACGCTCGAGCGTACGTCGAGCGGAGATTTCACCTATCCAGCACTTTTGACTGTTTTGAATTACGCTCAAGCGGTTAAGTCTGCGCTCGAGCGGAAACCTTTGTTTACATGTCCGCTCGAGCGGATTAACCTACGCTCGAGCGGGCCCCCTGTTTTCTGAAAATGCTTTTAAAGTGCATCTTTGCATCCTCATTTCATCCTAGGCATTCTTAGGCCTAGTTTAAGGCATCTTAATGAGGATATAGATGTAGAACCATACCGAGTCAAGATAGGGAGTAAATTATTATCTTTCCCAACTGTGTAGCTTAGTGTGTGTTCAATTTGTTAACTGTGTAGGGTTGGCGACTGGGGACGC